TGGTGTAAAGTCTGAACAAGAGTGGTGACGATACACACCTCTAAGGGACACCAATATTAATAGACTTTAAAATGGAAAGTACATTTCTATGCACTATGTGTGTTCTGCAACATAGGCTCATTCTGAAAACGTAGCCCTATATACATTTCTGGAGATCGCAAATTATGTAGCCAGAAGTACATATGGCTGCATTTCATCTTTAAAACAAATGCTACAGGGCGGTATGACTTCGTTCCTTTTCACGTTAACAACTAACCGCTCACCTCTGGATGGACAACTTTCTCGCCGTTACCAATTTGTCTAGTGCCTCGCCGTGTATGTTGGCAGGCTTGAGATGCAAAGAGGAGTTGAACACGACAACGGGGTTCGAGTCCGGCGAAGAACGGTTCCAGAAGGCAGGTAAAACAAAAACAGAAGGCAAAAAATTAAATAAACAAGTAATTAACAGGGTGAGAATGTGGTAAAATCTAAAAACGTGTTAAAAATTAGACGAGGACTTTTCTTTTTTTGGATTGCTTTTGAAAACACTGTCAGTTGGGTTTAGGGAAGTGGGTGTCCGGTTTAATAGGTGTTTTTGAAAACACTATTGGTTGGGTTTAGGGAAGGAGGAGGGTGAACCAGCCAATCGGTCAGTCATTCAGTCAGTCGACAGCGGCCTCTGGTGGATTTATGCGAGAAGAGCAGGCGCAAATGGCACTAGTGAGAGAAATTTGAGATCTCACAAAGCGTACACAACGATCTCTGGTGGATTCGCGAAAACAAAAACTGCAAAAGAATTTAGCTCCTGTGACGTTTTTGGCACTCTCCAGAAATGTATAAAGGGGTACGTTTTCAGAATGAGCCTGGGTTGTTGTTCTGATATCTTTTAGCTGTGACCCATGATAAGCTTCTTCCTGGATTTAACAAACAGATTTCTAAATTTGACCATTTTAAGGGTTAACTGACAATACATTCATGCCATGACATAAGGACAAACGTAATAACAGACTGAATGTAATTCATTTCTTCTACTTTTTTACTGCTTTGCTCATTTTGCCCACAGAAATCTACAAGTTGTTGAGCGCATCATTCAATCTTTTCATTTACTTAATTAAATATGTGTAAATATATATTTATTCACTTTTTTATATTAATTTCATTGTTATTATTGATTGAAATTCTAATGTTAGGTAATTGATGTCATTTAGTGAATCTATTATATGAGAGACCTGCTGTAGCTTTGTTTACCAAACAAGTGGTTCTAATTGGATTTTGATTGTAAAGCTTATTTTATAAGAGTTATTTTTTATTTAATAGGTTTCAGCTGCTACATTATCAAAATCATTTCACGTAAATCCACACATCTTTGTAAAAAAAATTGCACTGAAGTAGCAAAAAGATCCACAGATTCTGTCTGTTGTCTGGTGAAGTGATTTTTCTTGTAAAATAATTCTGTACAAACGTATTAGAAATCAAGGGATCCAGCAAAGTCCAGATTCAGAACTGTAAGAGTCACACCCTCTACCACCCATACAGTGCAGAAGTATGATAATTCATGACTATGCTCCGTCAGAATGTAGTCAGTCTTGACATGGATGTGTCATTATGAATGCACCAACATATGTTAGACAAAATTCTCCATCTGCTCTTTCAGGATGGTAATTGCTCTTTTCTTTTTTTACATGTGACAGCCAAATGCATTATTCATTAGCTGAATGATATTCAATACTAGAGAACTGTCAGGAAGGTAGAGAATAGCAGAGATGTCCTCTTTACCATTTTCTTTTTCTTGCTCGAAGTCAGTGTCACATGTAATATGATGTGACATTTAACGCCTAGTCATCATGTGTGTGCCTGTGATGGTGTGTGTGGGTTGTGGAGTTTTTTTTGTGTGTGTGTGTTTGTGATTCTAGACCTACTAATCATGTGCACATATTCTGTAGAGTAGAAAGCAGGGTGAATTAGTGGTAATAAGCAACTGGCCTATAATACTCCTCTATGCTTATTAATGCTTTGATTCTAGCGTACACACATACACACACACAGTTGCATTCTGTCTCCTGATGTACTAGGAAAGCTCTTATAAATACAGAAAACAGAAGTCAGCATAGATTCTTTATCTCAGCAGCGGAATGCAGTGCTGCTCTGACTTCTGGTGATAAGGCTGAATGTGTGTGGAGGTTTCAGGTTTTATTCGAACAAACGTTCCCCAAGTCAGCTACAATGTGGAGACCAACAAAACTAAAATTTGCTTAGACTGGCAGACTAAATATTATTTAGATTCAGTGCAATATTATTGAGAGGTGAATAAATCTTTAGCAGGGCATTTTTGGTGTTATAAGTTGCATTATTCTCTCTTACACTCACTGCTTTAATTAGAGGTTGCCACATTGGAGTGAACTGCCAATTACTCTAGCAATTGTTTTAGACAGCGGATGCCCTTCCAACCTCCTCCCTGCTCTGAACGGACACTCTCAGTGCTGGAAAACATCCACACACATACTCTCATTCACAAACAACGGCTAATTTTAGGTTATCCAATTAATCTATGCTGTATGTTTTTTTGTACTGGGGGAAACTGGAGCACTCAGAGAAAACCAACGCAGACACGGGAAGAGCATTCAAACTCCACACAGAAATCCCCCCTGGTCCAGCTGGCACTCAAACCAGCGACCTTCTTGCTGTGAGGTGACAGTGCTAACCACGTTCAAATAGTATTTATGGTAATACAAAAAGTATTATCTTTAAGACATAAAAAAAGAAGTTTAACAAGACATTAAACATTTTAAAAGCTTATTTTATCATTTACATTGGGGCATCACAGTGGCGTAGTGGGTAGCATGACAGTCTGGGTCAGTTGGCATTTCTGTGTGGAGTTTGCATGTTTTCCCTGTGTTTGCGTGGGTTTCTTCCAGGTGCTCCGGCATACCCCATAATCCAAAGACATGTGGTATAGGTATATTGAATAAGCTAACTGGTCGTGTATGTGTGTGAATGCAAGAATGTAGGGGGGTTCCCAGTGTTGTATTGCAGCTAGAAGGACTTTTCCTCGAAATTAAGGAAGCAAAGTAAAGAGAAAGTAAAAAGTCTGAAATGAAGAGGCTTGTTCTTTATCCTTGCACTGCAGATGATCTGTTTTCACTGTTTTCTCGCTAGTGAATCGTTCAGTTTTTCCACTACAAAGTCTGCCATGTAAATAGCAAATGCCCTATTGCTTTTACGCAACTGACTCTTAAAGGGAATGGGCGATGAGACTCTGATTGGTTTAATGCAGTTATGCTCAAAACACACCCATAACTCATTAAGAGAATAAGCCCAACCCTGTTAGACCATGCACCGCAATGCAAAGCGTTTTTCCTTCCTTAAAACAGTAAAAGGGGATTCAGATGTGCCTTTAATGGTTTAGACTTTGTGCCTAAATCGTTAAAATAGAACCCTTTAATATTTCATTCTTAAGAAGATTTAATTTAATTTTAGTAATTTTAACAATGTACTTATTAGGCATTAGAATCAGAATGTGAAAACGCATATCCTAAATGATAAAACATTTTAACAAAAAAGTGCTAAATGAAAAAGTATCAGAGGCTGAGAAATCTGCTACCAGATCTATTTTCAGTTGTCCGACACCAACATTAAAAGTACTTACTTAAGTAATTTATAGCATATAAAACACGAATTAAGCTCTTACTAGGCTTTTACTCACCCTGAAGTGTTTCCAAACCATTATGAGTTTCTTTATTCTGTTGGAAACAGAAAGATGCTTTGAAGAAAGCTGAAAACCTGTAACAATTGACTTCCGTAGTAGGACAAACAAATACTATGGAAGTCAATGGTTACTGGTTTTGAGCATTCATTAAATGATCTCCTATTGTGTTCAACCATAGGGAAAAACTCAAGCAAATTTGAACCATTTGAAGGATGACGAACTACCCCTTTAAAACTTTCTTTAACTGAAACTCCAGCATATAGTGCACCTTTTAGTGTAACAGTTTCAGAGTTAGCAAACTAAGTGCAACTTACTCTTTCAGAATGTGCAGGATGATGGAGACCAAGGTTGTTAAATTGGTGGTATTGTCTCCTTTTGTGCACTCACCGTTGAACGACACCTTCTGCAGGCTGGAAATACCTCAGCAGAATCCATAACACTACCACTAACTTTTTGTCTTGATGTTTTCTGTATCCTTCAAAATAATAATGTACAGCGGTATTAGCTATACACTGTGTAGTTTTCATTTGATGATGGATGGAAACCAGTGTTGCTGTACTGCCACCTAGCATGATAGAGCACCACCCAGAGTGCCTGGCGCTGGGTTATTTATGGTATTAACCATATTAAAACGGTATCAGTATTGATTTTTTAAAGCTGTTCAATATCTATCTATATATATATATATATATATATATATATATAGCTGCCTTTATATTATATCATACAGATGACCTTGACATTGCCAACATCGTGCTTTATAGTTTGCACTACAGGAATCTGAAAATGGAAAAACCCCACCATGATCACAAAATGAACTTGCGTTTGTGTTTGTGTGTAATTCTCTGTTTCTCTGCAGGGCTGCCAGTCTGATCTACATGGCTATTTGGTGTTCGGTAGACGCTATGAATGTCAATGCATATCGCCTTTTCTTTTTCTCTCTACTGTTTTTCCCTCCAGTTCTCTCCTCTCCCTCTTCAATCTATTTTTTCAAGCAAGCTGCTTTTTTATTTTGTTGATTTATTTTATTCCTCTCACCATGTCTTTTTAATATTTCATATTAATAGTAAGAGCTTGCGGTAAACATGAAGGAATAAAGACTCGGGCGCAGGATTTTGACACCAGGACAAACTGCAACACACCAGGCTGCTACACACTTCATTACACATGCTCAGGATCACATGACGTTATCTCCATATGCCCAATTCAGGAGCATTACCAACCAAATGAAAAGATGCATTAGTATGTCATAAAGCTCATTTTGCTTCCACTCTCCTGATTCATTCCCTGTTGTATTTATTTATTTCCCCCTCAGACGGTGATGGCTTCCAGGACCACCTGTTGCCGGTGTGTATGGACGATGCGTGTGCTAAAAGTGCAATATACCTGGCCAGGCCTGGGGGGACAAAGGTACACAAGCCCTGCATTATTAGTCTGTCACACTCCTCCATCCCACATATTCATCTGTTTGCGTGTGATGTTTGGATGCAGTGAGGTTTCAGAGCTGCTTTGAGGATGGTGATTGGGCCGTTTTAAACATTTATATCACTGTGGCTTCTAAAATTGACAGATGGATTGATGTGACGGATAGATGCGTGGTAGGGCTGGGGATTGATACAGATATCCTGATTTAATTTGATTCACAAGCTGACTAAATGTCAGTTTCTCATGTGCAACTAATTTTGTAAGAGGTCACGCTGGTGCCACTGCAGATTTGCTGAACTGATAAGCGGTGACATTCTGACGTGTGCGAGGTACACTGGGAATACGCCAAAAGGGGAACGCGACTGCTGCTTGTTTGTTCTGAACTATTTTTCTGCTTGGTTTAAAAGAAAAGAGAGCACTGCGCAGTCAATCATGTGAACACCAGTGAGATCCATCTAAGTTCATTGCAGGTTTGACCTTAAACCTTAAATCTAAAATGACCTTAAACCCAACTAAAAACACTCTAATCATTCTCCACAACACATGTTGAAAACTGTTCCCTGTGCCACATATATCAGCCTTATAGACTTTTCACTCCAAAAACTACAACAAACTAAAGCAGGGGTGTCCAAACTCGGTCCTGGAGGGCCAGTGTTCTGTACATTTTAGTTTAATTCCCAATTAAACACACGTAAACCAGCTAATCAAGCTATTCCTAGGTATGCTAGAAACTTCCATACAGGTGTGTTAAAGGAAGTTGCAGCTTAACTAAGCTGGACATCAGCCCTCCAGGACCAACTTTTGACTCCCCTAAACAAAACTCCTAAACTAAGAATATTATTGATGCCTTTTTTTGTTGAATCAAACTAATTATCTTGTCATCTCAAATCAAACTAGGGCTGGGCGATACAGCAAAAAAAAAAAATAAATAAATAAATAATCACAATATAATCTTACATATCATTCAGTATTAACTCCTTAACTGCCCCACCAAGAAAAAAAAGTTTGGAATGCATTTCTTAACTCTTAATGTCGCTAATTAACAAACTCAATGCAATTTTTTTTTAACGCCTCATAATTTCTAAAATATCAACCTCTACCAAATGGTTCATATGTCAGTTTATGGTAGACGTACAGGGATTAATACATATGCTATGACAAATCTGAAAATATGAAGTGTAAGACCAATTAATTTTAAATAATATTCCAAATAAAAAAAATTGAATACCAAATCATCTTGGTTTGTCAAGTATGTCGTAAAATATTTCAGATTGTCATTTAACATGTTTCCTTGTTGTTTTTTATTTAATTTTATTTTTTACAATAAAACCAAAATCAAGTATAGTAGTGCAACAGGATTATATTTAATAATTTTTTTTTTTTACTTTTTTTTTGTAAACCAACAATGCTGTGTAGTGTAAACCAAAAAAAAATAAAACAGTAAAAACATGGTCAACCGTTTGGTAAAGCGGCAGTCAAAAGGTTAATAAGTATTGAATATTTTTTAACAATATATTTAGGAATATTTGGATTTTTTATTTATTTAACCACTTCATTTTATTTGACGAACGTTACTAAGGCAAATAGTTTTAATAGTAAAAAAAAAAATATATATATATATATATATATATTATATGTCAGAACACGTTTTTGCTAATTTAAGGACGGGAAATCTGCCTTGCGCCTCGGCGCATGGTCTAAAAGGGTTAAGTTTATTTTCTTGATGAGTTATAGGTGTGTTTTGAGAATAAACCAATCAGAGTCTCATCTCCCATTCCCTTTAAGAGTCAGCTGCGTCGCGCCAAGAGCGCATTCGCTATTTACAGGACGCAAAGTAAGTCTAAGTGGAAAAAATGAGCATTTCACAAGCAAACAGTTACAGTTAACAGTTTTTTAGCAGAAAACTGTTAAACAGAGCATCTACTGCGTGAGAATTGAGAGATAATGGATCACTTTCACTTTCGCTCTTGGATAGGGAAACCTTTACGCACAGACATCAATTAGTCTATAAATAAATACTTTTGTTTGTTAAGCGCAAAGATTCGTTTCAAAACTATTTCTAAATTCAGTTCTAATTTCCAGCAAACGAATAAATGAATAATAATAACAAAATGTGCTCAAAAACCTGAGTTATATCCTAAAACACATGCTGTGCCCCATATGGTCTAAAACCTGACAGGTGGGCAAATCTAAGCTTGTTTTTAATAAAACAAATATAAATATGGATATAATAAATAATACTGCTAAGAATAATAACATTATACAAAAGCAAATTGTTATGAATGAACTGAAAAAGCCTCCCGAGATGAAGAAGACATAAAAGCAGTGATTTTTTTCATATTTATGTGGGCTAGAAAATATGTTGTGTAATATTTTAATCCTTTATATTTATATTCTATATCTATTCTTATCATATCCTATATATATCTTTAATATTTACATTTTTTCATATGTAAAGATATTTGCCTATTGCTCTCTTGTGCGTATTAAGCAGTGTGTAAGGAAGGCGCAACTCTGCGCCGGAGTTTAGACCTAATGAAGGGTTAGTTTTGGTCTAATGAAAAATCTATTATAGTTTCTCAAAATAGCAACGCGCCAGCAGTCCGCCTCAGAACGCCTTCCTTTTTAGACCAGAACGCCTATGAGCGCACAAATGAGCGCTAATGCATATGCTATTTAAACAGCGTAGCACAACGCCTCAAAGCGACTCTTGCGCCGAGCTGAAACTACCAAAAAGTTATTGCACCGCGCCTTGCACCACTCTGCGCCGGGTGTATGATAGGGCCCCTTGTCTCAGAAATAATGTACAACAAAATAGAGCTTTGGTGATACCTGCTATTATTTGCTTACTGCAATACTTAATGTTTATTGTTTAATCTTAATGTTTAATGTTTAAATACTTAATGTTTTATCTAACACCTAAATAAATTAAAAGATATATTTTTTTTCTAATTAATCAAGTAAATGTCAAGTGCTTTTTTGGCAGAAGGAACATTGCTTTTATCAAATTAAGTAAATCTTATTAGTTACAAGTTAGTACACTTGGCTTATCTTAATTTAATTTACACTGACTTGAAATGTGTTGTATCACTTTATTTTGAGCAGATTGAACTCAAGAGCAAAATTACTTTAAAAATGCTTATTGATCTCAGAGCTAGTGTAAGCACATTTCTAGATTTGCAAATGCTAGAAAATATTTAAATATCACAAATAAATGAACACTAATATTTAACTCTTTCCACTCATTTCATTTATTACAAGTATAAGTGTAAATATTAAATATTTGACCTAAAAAATTCTAGTTACACTTGACATTTAATATTACAATTTAAAAATGATGACACTAAATATATTAGATTTTACTACAGCAAAACCAGTGTACGTTGCCACACAAAATGACATCCAAGGTGCGCTTCGAGATGTCATTTAAATTTTTTAGCTCAGCTGTTAGAAATGGTATGCACAGGATTCTGGGATATCAAAAGCACCGAAGGAATTATGAGATACCATCTCAGACAGGAAGTAGAATTTAGATTCTGATGTGCCCTGATGCCTTCCCACCTTGCTGTCTCCCAAGGTAGCATTTTTAGTTTTTAGACACAGTGGTTATTTTCTTGTTAACATGTTATACTAGTGTTGCATTTGTATTTGTATTTGTACAAAACAGCTTTCCGGTCATTGTTTTTCATTACAAAGGGCATATAAACATGAAGTTTGAATAATTTTCCTATGGTGAGGTTTTTATGTTATTTATTGTGATCTACAAATATAGCTATAATGAGGTTGTTATATTTTTTACAGATAACTTTACCTATAAAATAATAATAATAATAATAATAATAATAATAATAATAATAATTATAATTATAATAATAGTAATATTATTATAGTAATAATATTATTATTATTATTATTATTATTATCATTATTATACCAATGCACAACTACCACATTCAAACTAAGATGTCAAATATGCATTTCCTGAGAGCAAAAAAAAAAAAACAAATCAAATATTGATAATATAATGTGCAGCGCTACCAAAACACATGTTGGTGCCAGCATCAGGAGAACTTGGTGGCATCGTTCCATGGTGTCAGTTCCAATTTCATATTTTTCTTTTTTAAACCCAGACTTTTAAGTGCTGTATTTTTCTAATATCATGTAAATTCGACTGTATGAAATTCTCTCTTTGCTACAGTTGTACAGAGCAGTGTTTCAGAGAGATTTAAATTGATAGCTCATATTTTTTAAATATTCATTAAACACACCAAAAAATGTTATATTTTAATTCACTGACTTGAGAGTATTTTTTGCTTCATTTGTTAATTAGACTGATTGACTGCACTTGGTTAGTTTAAAATATTGATTTATTTATTTATATTTATTTTTTTATCTAACTTGATACTTTTACATCCCAATATTATTTTTTTATCCATCCATCCTTCATTTATTTTTTATTCATTTAGTTTTTTTATTCATTTATTATTTGGGGGGGGGAGATGGTGGGGGGTGTATAAAATAGGGAATGGACTATCAGATGCATATATGAAAGAATTGCATTGATTTATGGATCATTCTTTTCAGTCAAGAAGGGCCATTCAGGAAATATTCTGCAAAACATATATTAACTACAGCATATATGAATATTCAAAAGAAGATAATGGGTTATAATGGCAGTCTATAATAACAGTGGCATATAGTTATTTAGAGCTCATTGTGTGACGGCCTGCTGTGGGCTGGCAGCTCATACTCTTAACTGAATGTCAGCCTCACAGTGGCAGGCAGCGGTTATCTCTGTCCACACACATACACACACATACAAAGTCTGGCTGTCACAGGCCTTGGGACCAGAGAGAAAGGGAACAAAGATGGACGGACACGAGGAGAGGGCAAGAATGTAAAGGGCGGGGAACACGTGTCAGCTTTTGTCCGCCTGCCACAGGCACTAGTCTTCACTATCAGATACACTGAAAGGAAAGAAAAAT